CTTTCTTTGCTATTTTGTAGACTCTTACCGAATTAGATTTGTCTTTCAATAAAATCACAAATCATGGTGCAGATAATTTAGCATGCGGTTTACAACAGAATAAAGTAAACTATTTTCTCATATGGTTTCTCTTATACTTCTCAGAAAATTTCGAAGTCTTTTTCACTTTGAAATAAGTAGATAAATCTTGCTTCACATTATTCGATAATCCTTAAGATCATATTCATATAATGGAATCTTGAATTTTTCACATAGACACTTACTGTGTTGAATCTTTCTGGAAATCAAATTGGAGATGCAGGTATTCAAAAGTTAGCAGATATTCTGCAAGTTAATAAAGTAAAAATTTCTTGATTCGATATTTACATCGCTATCATCTATTTTGGTTGTAGACATTGATCAGTTTACAACTTATACAGAATCAAATCAGCAAGCGAATTCAACAAGAATTGAATTCAAAAGACTCCAGAATTGCAATAAAATGATATTATGTTTTCATTGAGTTGCATTATTATTAGTCAAGAAATTTTCTCTATTTCACATCATTAATATGAATAAACAAGAATAATACTCGTATTGCCTGATTGACCATCGAATATCGATCCCATAGGCTGAATATTGCATCTCGTAATATTTTCCAGTGGTCATAGTTAGCGAGGACTTTTAACCTCTGTTTTAAGTTGTTCAAGTCTCGATGGTGAGGGTGGATGACTAGTATTATAAGAAAATTACGTTCAACTACTATTAAATTTGCAATTACGAATATAGATTGGGTAACATCTTACAATCGCAAACATTTTAGTAATTGTACCACGCTCAAATAAAAATATTGGAAATATCGGAAAAGGCTTTTTCTTGAATATAAAGATCAAGTAACACCCTATTTTTTGGCCGAAAATATCACTATATGTGTAAAACATGCTGGTTAGCAGTCAATTGAAGACCGCGGCTTTCGGTGAAAAGAAGAATCACATTCAAATTACTCACACACCTGAGAATAAGATATGATGATAGTTTTTGTAGAAGGAAGAGCTATTGATTAAATCTTAAGAATCAATAATACAATATTTGTCACATTGTAGCCCGTTTATTAAAATAAAGTTGGGAAGGTGTGAGTGCGTGATAACTCTTCATCTACACCCACACCCTCCTCAAGTTTATTTAAATTGATTTTCTAGAAATGTATCGATTTATTGATTGAAAAAGAGTATCTTGAACGAGATGCCAATAACATGGAAACTTTACGATATAAGGCTTAAAAGATGGACTTTTCATCAATTATTTAGAATATTATTTTCATTCTTAATTATAATGAGTACCTCATTGCTAGCTGTTATATAACCTATATTTCCATCTATTTTTCAGAAAATAATAAAAATAACGGAATACAATATACGGTCCATATGATTGTTATGTCTTGTTTAATCTTGAGTACTGTGCAGATTTTGATGAATTCATACAAATGAAAATAAACTATATAGATGTCGTTATGTATATTCACTCATATGTGTGCGATTCAATCAGAAAATGGAAAGATTATACTTCCTCAATTTTACATGCGCAGATTTTGAGTGAAAATACGCTATGTAATTGAGTCATATGACAGAAAGAGAAAAAGTCAAAAATAGAGTCGATCAACATCAGTGCAGATTGTTGTGGAAGCTTTTCAGCGTATTCTTCAATTACTCATTCCTTGATGCATGACAGTAGGCTTTGTGTAAACAATTAGTTGGTTTTTTCAACTTTCGTGCAAATAAGTATTCAGTTGTTCGTGCAGTGCTGATTGTATTTCAAAATGGTCGTAGGAGCAAATCTTGAAGCGTATCCTCAATATACAACTGTTCTGATACCATCGTCGTCCGGTGAACATGAGCAGTTAGAATCTGGCTACAATTCTTCGATGTCTACGTCAAACCCAGAAAGTCTTCCAAAGGTAAAACGATCAACAACTGGACAACAATCTAAGCATGTCGAAACACAATCAAGAGCTTCAGTTAGCACTCGGCAATCAATCTCAGCACATCATCAAGTAAAACAGCCAGTGGATCCAATCGTTAGATATCGTAGTCAAAACGCAACCTATTCCTTAATATCAGTGGATATGATGATATCAAAACAATTTAAAACAATTTAAAACAATTGAAACGGTAAGTGATGAATTTTTTGAGAACAGAATCAAATCCAATACTAAATTTAATGTGAAATGGAAAGCGAACTTTTCAATATGTTTTTTTTAGAATACTTCAATTAACCACAATCGTTGTTTACGTACTCCATCCAAATATCAAGAAGAGAGTACAGATTATTCTGATGATTGGGAAACTGATTATTCAGACGATTTTACATCAGATAGTGAAAATAGTTGGAAGCCCATCCCGCAGAAAGCCTCTGAATTTGTAAATGTATCAACACAAAAAGAATGTCGAATTGAAGGCATTAAAAATAAGAAAGAAGACCCAATATACAAAAATCTATCCACACAGAAAGATTCTAAAGATCATTTAAAGACGAATTCGTCGAGTGATACTTTAAGTTTAATACCATTGGATTCAAACGCATTTGAACCTGCATTCTGTCGACAACGTCAGGTAGCCATTGATAATATGGATTATCGAAGAGCAGTGAAGAGTTGGAAAGCGAAAAATGCTCGTGATATAATCAAGCTCATACTCGAGTTATCATCTGGTAAGAGTCTTATCGATCGAGCCTGGATTGTATTCTATTGGGTTTCGCAGAATATTGAATATGATATCGACGCATACTTCAGTGGTAATATTCGCCATCAAAGCACAGATGATCTATTTAGAAGTGGAAAAGGAGTTTGCGATGCCTTTGGTACAATTTTCGAGACTCTTTGCAATGGAGTCGGATTAGAATGCAAGAAAATCAGCGGATACGCCAAAGGATACGGTTTTAAATTAGAAACATCAGTTTTCCATCGGACGGATCATGCTTGGAATGTCATTCGTCTTGATGGCCGCTGGTATCTGGTTGACTC